TCGAACTGCGATTAATTCACGACGTGGGAACATCACGATTAGCTATTCGCTTGGAAAAAAAAAAAGATAAATAAAAATGAATATAGATGACAGCTGTGGGATTTGAACCCACGCCCTTTCGGACCAGAGCCTAAATCTGGCGCCTTAGACCACTCGGCCAAACTGTCATGTTGATGCTAATTGCTGCATGCTATTTGTAACATTGGAACCGAAAAGAAAAAAACTACAAACAAAACCTGGAAAATCATATTTCTTTCTCATGTAATTTGTCAGTTATGCGAAAAAGTTTAAACTAATACTATAAGAAAATGCTAAGGTCTCGTGTTACGAGATGGTTCAGTCAATGTTTTTCATCATTGGATACACACGTTGTGTTGTTGTGTGGTGTCTGGATAATCTACAATAAGAAACACTGACGAAACTATTCCGTCAACGAAACTGTAGTCATTCTCTATAACCGAACGAAATAGCTAAAATAACTTTTTTCCACATACATTTTCAACCTGGAACTGGTGGTATGAAAAAAAATATTACATGCACTCCAAACATTTGATTTTTTTTAATAATTATTTTATAAAAATATTCAGATTAAATGTGAAGCTATTCACAAGTCATTTTGATTCTAAACACATTTTCGTGTCCCATGAATTTGTTCTCTTCTTGAAACTAGTGCTTTAATCAAATAGAACGAGCCCTTGGGCATTTCGTGCTCATGTTTGTTCACGTTCGAACGCTGCTCGTGCTCGTTCGTTTATTTTTCGAGCAAAAAATCGCGTACAAGCTCGTCCGTTTAATTGTTTGTCAAAGTTCGAATTCATTCATATTCAAACAATTTAGGAAATAAACTTTTTAAATATGATTAACTAACTTGAAAATTGTAATATTAAATTACTGTTCGCGGACAGTATCGAACATGCTCGTGTTCTTTTATTTATTAAACGAACCTAATTTTCTGTTAGAACACGGTCCGATTAACACACAAACAAGTTCTTATCAAACACAAACGAACTTTTGTTCACGAACATTAACAACCCTAACATTTGTATTTCTCCGCATTTCCTCTCTGGATTTTCACTTTCATATTCTGGGATCAAATCTAGAAATCTTCTCTGAAAATGGCACACTTCTGTGTTTCTCAGGGGCGGTTTCTAAATTTGGTCTCTAGAGAAAAATATGAAATTTCCAGATTTCATTGTTAACTGCATTTTTTACGAGAAAAAAATCGCAATGTACATCATCCTCATGTGCATTGCCACCTTGGAATTTCAAAAGAGTCGAGAGCTCAAACAAAACTTCTAGATCGTACAATAGACGAGCCAAGTCAAGGTGGGTCGGTTTTTTCACACAAGCACGAGTTCCAACACTGTAGAACTCAGCTAGGCTCTAATGACTATATAACTCAGTAAGTCAGTAGGTTAACTAAATAATGACTAACAAACATTAAAGCGCAATCATTTATTCATCGAAAAACTAACAATATTAACAAATTTCACCCCAATGCCAAACATGAAAATTTTGCTACACTAACCACTCTTTTTATGTACAACCATTCTTCATATTCACTTCTAAACACTAGAGAAAATATTCCCATAAATTAGAGAGAGAGAGAGAGAGAGAGAGAGAGAGAGATCAGGTCGAATGACGGTTGTAGAAATTGTGACCAGAAATGAGAGAGCTCAAAGCAAAGGCAAAGAACGCCAAAAACGACATGGCGATTGATGCACTAGCCATTATTGTGAACTCGTCTTTACCCCAATTTGAAATCCAGTCCGTCACCCTTGTAGCTGCTGATGAGGATGCTGACATCAGCAAATAGGCCACCATCTGCAAAAAAATATGGAGAAGAAAGTGACGAACATCACTCATGATATGCAATGTCTAAACGAGAAAGGATCTAAATACAAAAATGACCGTAATTTTTAGCTTAGTTACGTATAAATCCAAATTTCAACTTCAGAAAAATTATATTCGAGGGATATAGATTCATCACGTAACAAATTCCCAGCTAGGATCATACAAAAAAAATGTAGCCTTTACTTAAGAAACTATTGCTCAATGAGAGTGAAAAAAAAAAAAAATCTCTTTCTCATAGCTGAAGAAATGAACTCGGTGCACCTATATAATGGGATATTGGTCTATTGTTTCGAACACAAAAAGCTACAAACAGAGCAGAAAAATAACTTGCCTGATCCATTGAAAAATCAAAATGGTAACGTAAATGGTGAGAGATGACATGCTTCTCTGTGCCCAAATGGTACGCCAGACAATATGCTTGGAAACCAGAATACACAAAACCTATAACGTTCACAGCTAGACAATATCTGCAAAAAACAAAGATGAGATTTTTGTGAGAGCAACATAATAAGAACCAAATTAAGACAAAGACGAGATTCTCATATTATGATTGGGATTTGGTGACAAAAGCCACCCTATGATTGAAAGGCGAATTCTAGAAGAATATCCACTGACAGGGACCTGCAATATCTACAGTTCCAGTTTTTATGTAAAAGGAATCAAAGGTTCAACTACAATTCGGAATCTACCAAAAATGGCATTTACGACTTCACTTTATCTCCCGAGCATTTATTGATAAATAAATATCAAGACCAGTGACATGTAGATATAGGAGTAGTATTATAGAGAATGTTTGATTTCATTCAAAAATCAGTAAACTAAAACTAAAATCAATGATAACCACAAACTGCTACTGGCCTATTTGGTGGTAAATCATACTCCCTCCGATTCTTTTTAAATGTCATTTTGGCTTTATCAACTATTAACCAAAATAAATGACGTTTTGGTTATATTGTACTCCCTCCTATTCATAATATTTGTCGTTTTGAGAAGTTGCACAGTTATTAAGAATATTTTTTTCGCCAATAATAACCCTCATTAATGAGGATAGAGATGAATGCTTTGAGAAAAGATGAAGAGTGAATATAAAAAGATGTAGTGTATTTATTAGATAAATGGGGGTAGTAATGGAAAAATATGTACAAAATATCCAAAACGACATTTATTTTGTTAATAGTTGATAATGCCAAAATGACATTTAAAATGAATAGGAGGTAGTACATGTTATTCTATTATTACCCTCGTTTAGCTAATAAATACACTAGGCCTTTTCATACCAACTTCTCAAAACGACATATATTATGAACCTTAATAATTTAAGAGAGATTGGACCCAATAAACACTAGATACTGGTAAATGCATCAGTTCCTTACTAAACTTTCCCTAATTCACAAGAACCATAATGTAATATCATACATACTGCATAACAATTTTTTTCCCAAAAAGCTGTTATTGCATCCTAAATCTCCACAAACCTCTAATACCACATTAAATCGTCGACCGAGTGGCAAGTATGTTCGTGTGAATACAAACCCAACACAAAATAAAAACATCTTAACCCTCTCACAGAAACAAATAAGAGCATTCAATGATCTTCACAACAACAAAACAGACTACCGAATCACGAACCCAAACAGAGCAATTATTACCTGTACTCGAGATACCGTTCGAACGAATCCCCACTCCACCCCTGAGTCTTGTCGGCCGCCATAACCGAGAATGAAACCAAACACGCCATCAACTCAAACACCCTGAGCACCAGCGCCACCTTTTTCACTGCCACATTCCTCTCCGACCGCCTCACTATGTCCGCCACCGCCGCCTCCCTCGTCTGCCCCTCCCCACCGCCACCATACCCCTCCTCCAGCCGGCCTCCGCCGCCCCAAACCGCCCCCACCTTCCTCACCGCGGCCGGCGGCTCCTCCCTCACCAACCTATTGACCCCGAGCACCACCGCCGAGCTCTCCTTCCCCGGAAAATCGATGGAGTTCTCCGACGGCCGCTTCTCCGAGTGGGGCCACGGCCGCCAGCCCTTGACTCTACCGGCGGCGGCCGTGGGGCTCACCGGCGGATTGGGCTTCCCCGGAGACGGCCCCGGTGAGTAGAACCTGTCGGCCACGGCTAGCGATTTGCCGCTCCTGCTGCCGGGGTTGTCGGCCTCGTGGTGGAAGTAGGGGTCGTCCGAGCGGAAGGGCGAGTCGGATCGGAGGGGTGAGTGCCAGGAATCGACCTGACTCGCCGTCGACTCGGTGTCGGACATTGATAGGTGGCTGTTGCTGCTCCTGCGAAGGGTTTTCTTGCTGCCCGGGTCTTGGTTTTCCATTAAAGACTGGAAATTGAGAAAACCCTTTTGCTGGGATGTGAAAAAGATTTATGGGGAGAGTGGGAGAGAGATAGAGCTGCGAAAAAAAGGGAAATTTGAAACGAGGCTTTCTTTGAATTTTGTGAAGCTTTGGGAAAGAGAGATTAAAGTGAAGTGGGGTTTTATGCTTTTTTTTGTGCTCCGTACACTAGAGCTTCAAATGAGCCGAGCCGAGTCGAGTATTGGTTTTATAGAGCAAGATTGACTTTTTTCTAGCTGCTCGAGTTTAAAATCGAGCTCGTCTAGCTTGAATTTTTAGGCTCGAGCTCGACTCGATAAAAAATTACAATAGCTCGAGCTCGATTCGAAATCAAAATGCTCGAGCTCAACTCAAAAATTTTTAAATGGAAAAGTGAAATTACCATTAAGGACTTATGCTAACATATATAAGAGGTATTTTAGTAATTTAACATGTATCTCGAGCCGCTCGCAGGGCAAAATATGCGCTCGAGCTCGACTCGAGTTCGTGCTCAACTCGAGTTCGGTCAAACTCGAGCTCGAGTCGAGCTTTGACTCGAGCGCTCGCGAACGGCTTGGTTCGTTTGCAGCACTATCCGTAATAGTTGTTTTTAACTTTTATTGAACTATTTTTTAAGTATGAAATTATTGATTAAAAATATTTTTGTGCAAATGTAAGACAATAATTGGATTTCTTTGTTCATTTTATATCATATTACATATATGAGTAAATGATATAATTTTAAGCAAGGAATTTAATACTATGAAAAACCGTTACATTTTGTATTAATCAAGTAATGATGTTTAATTTTATCTATTTTATTACATAATAACTACTACTAACAAATTATATAGCCACGCTATTTATTAACCAAAAAAAAAAACAATATTGTTGTATTTTCTGAACATTTATTTATAATCATAATTATTTTTGTTTTTTCAACTCATTAATTAATTTATTATTAAAAATAGTTAATTAATTTTTATGATATTGACCAAACCTCTTAAATTTCTCACACAATTGCTAAATAATAATTTCAATATTTTCTTTATGTAATTAATTGGTCTTGATCATTCAAATATTTAAAAATACATTATTACAATTAATATAATAATTTATTACAATTACTATAATAATTTTTAAGTAAGTTAAATAGTTTATATTTATATAATTGATTTTGACTAATAATAGGTAAAATGTAATATCCTCATATTATCTAACTTATGGTTTTAAATATTATGTATACATAGAGGGATGTATTCAATTGAGATTTCAAGTGACATTTTGAGACTTTTTAAGATTTGAGATTTGTTGAGATTTCCAAATTTTGGAGAAATTCCGTGAAATCCTTACTCTAGAGGTGAGATTTGAAGTGTGATTTCGTATAAGGTTTTTTTGTTTAGAAATCCCACCAAATCTTAAAAAATCTTAATAAATCATAGTCTCAAATAAATTAAATACACCAGGATTTTGTAGGATTTTTTAAAATCCTAATTGAATACCCCTAGACTTTTAGAAGTCTTTAAATGTCCTAACAAATCTAAATTGAATACAGCAGGATTTTCAAAGTTATAAAAAGTCTTTGCAAATCCTAATTAAATACACCCTTCATAATTTGGTAACTACTTTGATTTTGAGGTTTTAAATATTATGCACAGATAATTTGGTAAGTAGTTTTATTGTGCATTTATTAATTAACTATGATTTTTTTTTTTTACTACATACAAACTAATCAAAGATAGAGGAAAATACAATTGGAAGAGTGTCCTTCCAATAATAATAAGAATAATGTGAAGCAATCACCCAATTAGCTATATTATGGGCCGCTACATTGTCCTTTCATGAATGGCAACACGAGTTGCAATCTAAAGCCAGTAAAATATCCCTAATATCCGTAAACACCTCAAAAATAGGGTCCAAATCGGGAGTCACTTAGTGCGAAGTGGCTATCATCTTCTTAAAAGCTTACAAAGGGGATTCTTCAGCGTCCAATTCAAATCCTAATTCGACCTGGTGGAAAGCGCTTTGGAAATTACGACTTCCCCCTAAAATAAAGATTTTCCTCTAGAAGGTATCATTCTCAGTCATTCCATCATGTGAAAATCTCGCTCGAAGACATATAGTATTGGACGTTCGGTGTGTGCGATGCGGTTATTGAGAAACGAATACTCATATTTTTTTTTCGAATGTGATTGATCAAAGAGGTTATGGAAATACGCAGGATGACGGGATGTTATCTCTAGTCTCTGAAAACGAGAATTTATCTCTATAACTTTGGTTATTCTAAATGGGGATTGTGTTGTTAATTCTAGAAATTTTTTTGTGACCTTGTGGCTCATTTGGCAGGCAGGAGCGTAATCGCCTCCATAAAAATTTCAAGGCAAGAAGTCTGGAGTGGGTTTGGGATTTTGGTATATCCTGGTTAAAAGAGTTCGATGGCGCTCAATCATGGCGAC